AAGAGAGAACATCTGAAACTACGGCGACAAGCTTCCGGGGAAAATTTTTGGTGATTAAGAGGTTGAAATACAGAGCAAGAGGGAAAGAGGGCTTTGCTTTAGGTGCGATGAAATTTGGCCCTAATCATCGATGGAAGAGCCACATCTCTGCAAGTTCTTGCATGGGAGACGATGAGCTAGAACAGGGAAATGTCGACACCGATGCCCGATGCCGAAGAGAGATCATCCAGAAGGTAACCTTTAGCTCTTTCATGAACTCAATTGTGGGATTACTTCGGATAAAACTTGAAAGTTAAAGGCCTCATCGGGAAAGAGGAGGTCATGTGTTGTTGATAGTGGTGCTTTGCACAACTTATTTCACATGAGTTGGTGTGCAAGTTGGGGGTACCAATTGATAAGGGCAGGACCTCAGAGTAATGGTGGGAAACAGGGTGACAGTAAAAGGGGAAGGTATATGTGAGGGTTTAGATGGAGATACAGAATTCATACCAACAGGAGTATTTCCATTGAATTTGGGGGGGGAGCTCACTAGGAGATATTGTGCGAAATTGGAAAAAGTTAACTATGACATTGGAGGAGAGGGAAGAGGTGTATTATGCAAGGGGATCCTCACTATTAAATCAGGAGTATTGCTTAAGTCGATGCTTCGAACAGTCAGAATACAGCATAGGGTATCTAGTTGTTGTGTTCCATTGAGAGTAAATCAAAGATAGTAAGGGACCTTAGACCCAAGAGTAGCTAGAGTGTTAGAAGAGTTCAGAGATTGTTCAATCAACGCACTAAGTTGCACAACAAAAGAGTTCATGACCATGCCATAGTTCTTAAAGAAGGCGCTCAACCACCTAACATCAGACCATACCGTACCATTCTTCCAAAAAAATGAGATCGAAAGGTTGGGAGAGACATGTTGGCGGTGACATCATACAACCCACACAACATCCCTTTCAGTCCGGTTTTTTTTGTTAAGAAAAAGGATGGCAAGGAGGTTCGTTTGTGGATTACAGGACCTTTAACAACCTCACCATCCCGACAAGTTTCCAATTACAACGATCGATGACTTTTGGACGAGTTGGCTGGAGCAACTGTCTTTTCAAAATTGGATTTAAATCGGTTACCACCAAATAGAGTCAAAGAGGAGATTCCGAAAACAGCCTTTTGGCCATGAAGGTCACCATGAATTTAGTGATGCCCTTTGGATTAACCAATGCACCTTCCACTTCCAATCCTTTTTAACACCTATTCAACCATCCTTTGCAATTTGTCTTGGTCTTCTTTGATGATATTCTAATCTACAGTCTGGACATGGATACCCATAGTTCACCTTACTCAAGCTTTTGACTCTGCATAATCATAACTGGTGGTTACTGCAAGAAATGCAACTTCAATCAGAAAACTTAATACTTAAGCCATCTGGTGTCTGCGGATGGGGTAGAGGAGATGCCGCAAAAAATTGAAGCATGTAGCTTGGCCAGTCCCGAAAAATGTGAAGAGTGAGAGGGTTTAGGCTTAGGGGTACTATCGAGATTTTTAAAGGTCTATGGCCCCATTGCATAGCCCTTACACATTGTTTAAAAAAGACTTTTTTTTGGGTGAGAAGCACAAAGGTCTTCATTAGTTGAAGACAGCCAGGCTACGTCTTGGTATTGGAGCTCCAACTTTGACCTCCCTTTTGAAATTCACACAGATGCTTTAGGTGCAAGACTTGGGGCGGTCCTAGTTCAAAATCCAAACCAGTAGCATACTTGAGCAAGCTTTCTCTCCTCAATCCACACTGAAGTCAGTCTATGAGAGAGATTAATGCCATAGTGTTCGCATACGCAAGTGGAGTCACTACCTCTTAGGCGCAAATTCATAATCAAAACTGACCAACAAGCCTTCAATTTCTCCTTGATCAGCAGGATGAAACTGCCAGAGCAACAAAATGGATTTCCAAGCTCATGGGTTCACATTTGAGATCCAATATTATCTAGGGAACACAAATAGGGTGCTGATGCCTTATCTCGCGTGACGAAGAAGTTAACTACCAGGCCCTCTTGGTAGTTCAATTCAAAAAAATGACAATTTGGCTGCAGAAGTCCAGCAAGATCCCAAGCTCCAAAAATCATACAAGATCTATTGTTTGATCCATGTAGTTGGCCAACTATGAGCTATGCAAGGGTTGTTTGTTGTACATAGTCGGTTGGTGCTCCTAAGTCTTCAAGCTATATTTCTAAGCTGCTCCATGAGTTCCACTCCAGCCGGTGGTGCCACTTCGGGTTCTTTGGACATATAAGAAAGTGGCGGAGAATTGCCTTTGGGAAGGATCAAAAGGGATTGCAAGACTTTCTTAAATCTTGCACTATATGTCACCAACAAGCATTCGACATTGAAACCAGCGGTATCCATAGCCCTTACCCATCCCCAACCGGTTTTTGAGGACCTTACTATGGATGTCATTGGGGCTTGCCTAGGGCCAGGCTATGACACCATTTTTGTGGTTGTAGACCGCCTGACAGTATGGACACTTCATCTACTATCCACCCTTACAATGCTAAGAGGTGGCGACATTTTTGTGAAAGAAGTAGTCAAGCTACAGGCTCCGCAATCAATCGTATCCGATAGAAACAGAATGTTTATGTCACCTTTGGGAGGAATTATTTAGGGCAGCCGGCACATCTCTAAAATTTAGTTCCGCCTATCATCCTTAACAGATGGGCAAACCGAGGTAGTTAATCATTGTATCGAAGCTACCTCTGCTGTTTCTGCAGTTCCCAACCTTGACAATGACCTTGCTGGCTACCTTGGGCTGAATTTTGGTACAACACTACGTACCCAGCTCAACCAGGATGACTCCCTTCCTAGCTTTCTATGGTCGAGCACCCCCCACTTCTTAAGTTCACTAGTGCCCTTCTCTGGTGGAAGATGTTAATAGACAAATGTCGGAGAGAAACGCTATTCTTAATGAGATCAAGGACAACTACTGGTCGCATAGGGACACATGAAAGAGGACCGTCGATGCTCATCGCAAAGATCTCATTTTAAGGGTGTGACTGTGTATATCTTAACTTCAGCACCTATAAGTTTAAGTCCTGGCTAGGAAATTGAACAAGAAACTTAGTCCCCGATTCTCTGGTCCATTTCCTGTGCTTGAGAAAATTGGTTCTGTCGCCTACAAGTTGGCCTGCTAGATATAACCTCCATTCACCCAGTTTTCGATGTTCTTGCAACTCAAGCGAGCCTCCATAGTTCTGTCCAACTTAGCCGTACCCCATGTCTCACCGAGGAATTGGAGCTCTTAGTTCAATTGAAGCGGTACTCTCTTCTCCGCAGTCTTTTGGATGGTTCTCAAGAGGTCTTGATTAAGTGGCAGGATCTTCCTCCTTTTGAAGCCACCCTGGGATCCTAGAAGTCATTGACCTCCACTTTCCTTACTTCACCTTAGGGACAAGTTGGCAGGGTGTGTATTGATAGGCCACCCTTTAATAAGAAGTATTCAGGCAAGGAAGGAGGACGTTGGGTGGAATAAGGGCAGTGGAAATTAGTTAGGCTAGAGTACAGTGTCGCGATTGATTGGGAATTAGTGGGAGAATCATTGCTGAATATTAAGGGGGAGCTTAGCTGGACAGTTATTATTTTTGTTTAGGGAATCACCAGTGGGAGGCCGCTAGCTCCTCGAACTGCTAGCACTCGTTCTTTTATCACATTGCTTCATATTGCAAGTATTGGATTACTCTTATTAATCTGTGATTGATGAACTGCTGTTTTGGTGAACTTTTTGACTGAATTGTTTCATTGAGTGAGGTCTGTAACAATTCCCAATTTTACTATTATTTTAAAGTGCCACGTTTGAAGTCCAATTGATGTAAATGGAGTCTAGCATGTCAAATGCGCTGTGTTGGTATGGTTGGTACTGACAGAAAATGATACAATATTGAGCTCGTGAGCTAATCATTCACAAGTTTTTACTCTTGGAGAATAGTTTGTCAATGTAAATCCCAAGATTTTTGTTTTCTCATCATTTGCGATCTTATGGTCGTGATGCATCCCAAGTGGATATGACACTCTTCTTTATGTTGCTTAATTGTATAGAATGTGATTTGCCGTTCCTTTGTTTTTATGAGCATGTTTTCACCCAATTATTCCAGGCTATGTACTATATTGTCTTACCGTACCCACATTCTCTATATCTTCTCGAGATCAGACTTTAATCTAATTCTAAAAGCTTCATGGCCTTGTTGGGTTTGACATTTCCTGTCATTCTTTGCTGTCTATTTAGCCCGTAAAGCATGAATTTTCAACTAGATTCTTGTCAAGGGACATGTACTAGGGCTTTTTTACTCACTTCTGTGCCAACCATATGTCTAGTCCCTTTATGCTGTTGGTATTTTTAACGTAGATAAGTAAATGATAGTTCTAAAACAGGATAGCGTGGTGATATGAATTTGATCCTTTCTATTGGTACTGTGTGGAAGGTTTTCTTTCTAGGGGAGTAAGGCCTGAACTTGATCAATGTACTTCACATATGTAATAAACCTTTATCTATTCTCACCTGCTAGCTTCTGTAATTGCCTCTCTGAGCCATCGTAGCTGTAATCACCCAGTAACAAAAACCTTTCAGCTATTAAAATAGTGATACTTACAAATTATTTAAGTGTTTCCGCCAACTGGAGACACTAACATTGTATTTGTGGGGTACTGCATTTTGTGTATAATCAACTTCATCTATAATGGAGCTTCATTATGTTCAAATCTAATCCCCATGTGAATGCTACTATAATCATATGGGAAAAGTAGTTACTATAACCCTAGTTCCATTTAAATCTAGTAAATCAATTTAGTTTCGAAGTTAGATGCTTGTGCTAAAACCTGCATGTACTCGAAATCATTTGTAGTGCATCGTGACCAACTTATTTTTAAACATTGTCTTAGTTTGGAAGTTGCAAGTATTATCATTCTTTGCTATTGTTAAACCAAAAATCTATGATAGCTTTTTATTGACCGATGTTTATAAATGGGTCTAGGTGCCAGAAGGTTATCGAGTTGCTCAGTCTTGCTGTGAGAAGTGTAATTATGACTCAACGCATTGTGCTTCGGTGTCTGGCCTTCTGAAGCAAATAGGGAAGAGATAGACCTGGATGTGTTTTGCGATTGGAGACCAGGAGTCTCTGGATGAGAAACACAACCAGAAACCATTGTTCTTTTTTGTTGATGGGTTCTATTGTAATAATAACCAACAACACACCACCCAAAAAAAAAAAAAAAAAAAAAAAACATTTGTTTGCGCTGTGTTTGTAGAGCAATATTACCCCAAAAAGTACATGTAATTGATATACTCAGCGTGGCATTAGTAAAACTACTTGTACATGATCTTTATTTAATTTTTTTTTTTTTTTTTTCCGATGCTTTTGATCATGGTAAAGGGATTGGATTTATATTGCAGTGCCACCCTGAGGTTTGACATAAAAAACTTTCCTCCCTTGATAAATTGACCATGATAAAAATAACTAGTCATTCAACTATAGACCCTTGCCAGGGACGGATCCCAACTGGGTCACAGGTCTAGGCTTGATTGGGGATAGTCACTCGTGGGCTGTTGATCAGTCCCAGGCTCATGAAAAATTTTAGGGCCGGTTCGCTATGGGTCTAAAATTTTATTTTTTCTTCAACTTTTTTTATATTAGGGGTCAAATAAATTTATGTAGGGGGTTTGTAATTTTTATGGGAGATAAGTAAATTTTAATTAATTTAAAAATAATAATAAATTACATGGTGAAATTATAATTAATACTATAGTTATAATAGAGGTGTGTTCAATTTAAACTTTCAAGAGATAATTTAATTAATTAATTTTAACATAAATGTAATATTCACACATTTACACTTCACAAATAAACAATTGAATAAATTTGTTTTTTTTTTTTTTTTTAATTACACATTTACACTTCACAAATAAACAATTGAATAAATTTGTTTTTTTTTTTTTTTCAAATTATTCATCTACATCGTCAATAATATTTACATCGTTCAAATTTGTATTCTTGAAGAGTTCGAGTGGTTCGGGATTTTTAGGATACTGTTGTAGTCTTCTCTCTGCACGAGTCCAATCCCGTAAACATGTTATCACTTCAATCATCTTATTGGTTAAAGAACATCTTCTATCTTCAATGCTGTCTCGGATGCAATTGTTGAAACCAGCACAGAAAAAATGTTACGTGCCATTTGACATTTGGGCTATAATGGGGAATCGACTTTAATATTAGTTCCACAATGGAAGCACATCCATTTCATGTTTCTCCTTCTTCATCATGTAGGACATGTTCATTTGTAGGTAGCGATTCAGCTCATTTGGTTCATATATGTACGAGCTAGAGCTGTTGCTTCTACCATGTTCCATATACGACCACATGCTCAATCCTTGATAGATGTTTTCACCAGGGTCCTATTGGTCGTCTCTGCTGGATGTTCCAGTTCTAGTTCCACTGTACCTGCTCTGATATAAAGAAAAAAGGCTTTCCAATTTTTGCTTAAAGTTAATTTAATAAAACATATAATCATGTCCTAAATCTTGGCATATCTCAGTAATTATACAATTAACTACGTGTAATTTAAACCTAAGATTTACAACAAGGCCTAATCCATATAAGAATGAAATATTTAACCAATATTTTTCGTATTTTTTTTTTTTCCTTCTTTAAAACAATTTCCATTAAGAAGTCATTATATCTATATTTAGCAAAAGTTTTAGAAATTTGAAGTAAAATATCTAATGCTAAATTAATAGTAGGATAATAAATACCACTTAATGTATTAGTGAATTCATAAAAAACTTTAAGAAATGAATAAAAAAGTTCACAAACCGTCCAATCATCATAGCTGACAACTTTTTGCGGATGGTTCTTGTAGTTGAGGAAATTTGTAATTTGTCTTGTGGTTGGCAAAGCTTTTTCCAACATCAAGTAGGTGGAGTTCCAACGGATAGACATGTCCATACATAACTTCAAAGGTCGAACTGATGGGTCCTCTTGCTTACAATATTTGACGTACTCCTGCGATCTTTTGTTGCTACCGCCGATGATGAATCTGGTAGTCGCGCGCACTCTCTCAATCTTCAAATTTACAGCTTCCAAACCTGCTTTAACAATCAAATTGATGATGTGGCAAGCACATCTCTAGTGAAAAAAATTTGCCTTCACCACGCGGATCCAACTCTTTTCAAATAAAGAGATAGTCGCAATGTTAGCAGCTGCATTATCTAGTGTTAGTGCTACAACTCATTCAGTTAATATATATTCTTGCAAAACTTCAATAATTGTAAAATAAATAGTGTTAGCATTATGTGTAGTATATAATGGTCTAAAACCTATCAATTTTTGTTGTAAACCCCAAATGTGATCTAAGTAATGTATTCTGACAGTTAAAAATCTTTTTTTGATCTACAAGCCCATATGTCTAAAGTAAGTACGATAGATATATTCTAAAAATGTTGAAATTCATTTTTAAGTTGAACATTTATTTTGTTATATAGTTTTAGTATGTCACTTCTACTTGTACCTCTACTAACGGGAGTATATGTTGGATAAAATGCAGCTTTAATCATGTGAATAAATAAGGGTTTTCAAATAAAGAAAGGGGAAAGTCTGTAGCAACTATGTATCTTGCTATTTCCTTTCGTGCTTGGAGTGCATTGTATTGTCATGTTGACAGAGTTGAGGATTGTGGATTAAAATTATGTTGAGTTTGATTTTGCTTATCGAGTCTAGTTGAAGATGAATCAAACAGCTGCATTATTTGGGGGTGCTTCTTCTCCAAGTGTCGCTGCGTCGTCGAAGTCCCCTTCTTAGCACTGATAATGGTTCCATATGTTAGAGCAAATGCCCTAGAGCCAATCAATTCCAATTAATTCTTGTACAATTGACTCTTTGTAATAATGTTCATTGACCAATAAAAGACATTTGATTCTATATCACGTAAATCATCATTGTATGCATTGATATATGTCCTTAGAATGGTAGAACCGTGACGAAGGTATCAAGTGTTTCAAATCTTGATAGTGAGAACCCTCTGAGCACATGTGGTGGTGGCGTGCTGTCGTAGGCACCCAGAATTAAAACCTTTTGAACCTAACTACTAAACTGTAAGTAGGGTAAGCAAGGGTCGATCCCACGAAGAGTGTCTAGCCGAATTTTCTTTGATGTGAAAAAGGCTAGGGGGTTTGTGTAAAAAAAGAAAACAATCTCAGCAAAAACAAAAACAATTTAATTCGAATTCAATCAAAATGACGAACTTGGTCTCTGTCAACATCCACCATCGGAATCTTACAACTGATCATTGATGCAAAGATAATCAATTCACACATTGAATACTCACCGTTGGAACTAATTTCCTATCTCTCCTTAATTGTAATTAATCAGGAAACAAGCGATCCTAATTAATCTTACCCCTAAACAACCCTAGACAAGNCACTTTATTACTTTTTGCGACTAGTATACTTGCTATTTTTGCATGTTGTAGTAAACACGCATCAAGTTACGAGGCCTGTAAGGTACCATTGGAAACCTCATTCAAAGCACGTTAGAATTTTATCAACATGGACTAATGTAGAATGTCTATCAGATGAATTCATGGAGCGGATTGAACATTAGTAGTCCGTGCATAAAACCCAAAGAGCTTAAATGAGCATGCCCCATTCAAACGGCCATAACTTTTGATCCAAGAAGAGTTTTGGGGCCTTTAAGATATCATTGAAAACCTCATTCAGAGCCTTTCAGAAGCCCATTGACATGGACTAATGTAGAATGTCTGGCAGATTAATTGATGGAGCGGGCTGAACTTCAGAGGTCTATGCATAAAGCCCAAAGGGCTTAATTGAGCATATCCCATTCAGACAGCCATAACGTTTTATCCAGGAAGAGTTATGATAATCCTAGGATTATACTATTTTATCGAGGCTTTTTGGCCAGAAGTTGGATACTTCTTATTTCGTTTGTGCCTGAATTACAACTTAATTGCATACATTTTATGTTTTAGGCCAAAACATGCAGTTAGAGCAAATAATGAGAGAAATTGAGTTTTTGGACCCAGAAGAAAACGAATCTCAGGATTCAGGGGAGTTCTAAAGAGGATTTGAAGCACTATGAAGCTTGTTCCTATTGGAGAGCACGAAAGCTTGAAGATTCAAGCAAGGAAGCAAGCGAAGGGCAGTTTCGTTATTTCGGAATTGTGCAGAAAAGTTCGCTGCAGAAAAGTTCATTCTTCACCACGACGATAAACTTTCGGGACAGATTAACAATTTTAAACCAATTCATTGTCGCAACGAAGAGTTGCAAGATTTAGTTTTTCAAAACTGTGTGTTTTAATTTAGGCGAAAGTTTTAGGTTTGTTTTGGACCGACTATATAAAGAAAACTTAGTCTTTTTATTAGGGAGTTTGACATTTTTGGGAGAAAGAAGAGAAGATTGAAGATCGAACTCTTTGGATTCATCAAATAGGGAAGATTTTGTTCTCTTTTCTTAATTCCAACATGTTGAATGCATTGTTTACTATTTTTATTTCTATTTGCGTTAATTTTAGTATGAACTAACTCGTTTTGGGTTAGGGTTTTGATGTAATTGGGGTTTTTATGTTTAATCAATAAATTGATGTTGCTTTTGCATTCTATTGCATGGATTGTGTGATTACTCTTGTTTTTGTTGAAATTATTTGTTGAACATGATGAGATTGAGAAGTGAGTCATGTATTAGCTTCTTAGGGTAATTGCCATTGTTGTATTGAACACTAGAGATATGAGAATCAATGAAATCAATTTAGGATTCCATTTAGCTTAACGAACTTGGAACTATCAACCTTCAATTTGTTGGGCGCAGAAGCTTAATAGGGAAAAGTAGGAAAACACAGCCTGAGAAGGTATGTTTTACACATTAGGGAATTTAATAGTCTTCGATATGCCCAATTTTGATGTAATTTTGGGTATGGATTTCCTAGGGAGGAACGGAGTAGAAATTGATTGTCGGAAGAAGAAAGCGAGATTTAATCTCGATAATGGAGATAAGTTTAGTTTTGGAGAGGGCCATCGGTTGAGTATGTTGATTAGTTGTGTAAAGGTGAGAAAGATGTTGAGAAAGGGGTGTTC